GTCTATTTCCGGTGTAGCAAACGTAGTACATAGGGCGACATCTAGATGTCATCTACCTCGCCCTATTCACTATGCTTTTTTATAGGAGCTTTTCAAAGCTTTGCTTTATGGTGTCGGACACACAACATTGAAAGTTTCTCGAACACAACATTGCAAGTTGATAAAAGCGTTGTAATAAAAGGAAATTTTATGTTTTATTTAAATAAAGTAAAGTATTGTATTACTAATTAGTAATTTTTTTGTTTAAAATATTTTTTTAAAGAAAAAATCGGCATTTTTTCCTTTTAAATGTTTTTTCTCAAATTTTTTATACGAAGTATACAAATATGCATATCAGAAGAAAGAGGTATAATTTACAACGGTATCAATCGTTTAAAAATGGGTTGGTAAGTTTTTTGTTAAAAATATTTTTTTTATAAAAAAAAAATTATTTTTTCCTCTAAATGTGGTTTTTCTCAGATTTTTATATACGAAGTATACAAATGTGCATATCGGAAGAAAGGGGGTTCAATCACCTTTACAACGATATAATTTTTTATAAATCAGTTCAAAATTGTTTGAAATATAAGGAATTTAATTTTTCGAAGACCTGAGCTTTGACCCCTTATAGCACCTGTAATATAAGTTTGCATACAAAAAGTTATATACATTTAAATAAGAGCAAAAGGAGGACTACGTCTATATTTTTAGGTTTTTAGTTATCTACATGCAATAATTAAATATAATTTTTTACCAAAGGTACTATTTCGAACTACGAAGGGGCTTATCTGGATTTCGGAGGCTAACTTCGAAAAACGGAGAAATCACTTTTTTACCTATGACCCAATCTCTTAAAAAAAATTGGTTTGGTCCAATACCCAGAAAAAATTTTGATATTGCCGTACAGTGTAATTAATATTTTTTATAAATGTTTAGCTCATTATACATACATACATATAACACTGTGCGATTGTAAATTTTACACCAGGGTACGAAAATAAACTGTACAAAACAATTCCCATTAGCTCATCGATCATCATATCATTTGTGGTTTTGTACAGTTTTGTACATAGTCAGAAACAAATTGTAAGATTCACTGTCATTTTCCCCAACGAGAAAGGTTTGCATTTCGTTTGTGACAATTGTACCATATGGTTTTATATGTATGCAAACGTTTCAAATACGTGAAAAATATTTTTTTCTGTAAATTTTCATATCCAATTCGATTAAAAAACATTTTTATTTTTTTTATTCATTGCAGCCATTCGTTTTGTATTTAGTTATTGCATATATATACATACATACATATATTTTTTTCTGCACAATTCATTTCGTTTGTTGTTTCGTATGTAACTACTAACTACTGTAGTATACTATCGCCAAAGTGAACTCAGCCGTTTTGTTTTCGTATTGTACCGAACTGTTAAAGTAATGAACGAAACGAAATAGTAACGTACAATATAGTTTATTTTCGTACACTGTTTTACACACAAAAATCAATCAGCCCTATTCTTGCGTTTCGACTCGAATCGAATGGGTCGATTACACTATGCGACAGTCAAAATCGGGATGGGATGAAACCAACGGGAAATGTTATATCGGTCAAAAACAAGTTATACGTGTCCCGGCGTTGCGCTGGGTCACGTCTAGGAATCGAGATATATATATATAACTATCATATAGGGGAAATTGTCACCTTTGGTGGTCTTTTTTTGACATAACTCGAGAACCACTAGTCCGATTTTGCTCAAAAAAATTTAAAAAAATTAAAAATTACAATTCCTT